GCTTAGTGTTTTGCTCAGTTCATCGATGTTCGTTCTCCAACTCATATCATTGTCAATATAAAGTCTCAGAAGCTTTGTAGTTGACAGACCAATAAGGCGATACTCTACTAATAACATTAAAACTGTAATGTTACCTGTTCAAGCACAAAACTGCATCTGTATTGTGTTGGTGGAATTTACAATTAAGAAGTTGTTCCTACACCAAGTCGTTAATTACACAGCAATTACATTCATCTTGTAATTCAGTGTAGAAACGGTATCTCAAGCGCCATAGATCTCGTGTATTTCGAGGAAACGTTTCCATATACTCTCTGTTTATTTATTGATAAAATAAATGTTACACAGTCCGGCCTACACTGTGTATCCAATTAATTAATTTAAGAAAAAATTTGTTGTTTAATTGAATGTATAAATAACAATTACTCTTGACATGAAAAAAATATACAATTAAAATATTTAGAATTTTTCATATAATAAATAAGTGCATTAATTGAGTGCGTGGTATTTGCTGAGCTGTCAGAGCTGTCATTAACATTACAAATGATAAGAAACAATAATCATAATGAATATGGTATGATATAATAACGTGATCAAGGTGGAAGTATAATGCATTTCTCATTACATTGTTTGTTAATTGAATTTGCCATATGACGACTGAACGATGAAGAAGATAACAATCTTGCATACATAGGAAGAAGCTACATGCAATGCTACAGCCACGTTTGTCAATACACTTCCAAGTAAAGTTTAATTCATTGTAAATCGGATTTTCCTTAGCCATCAAAATAGCCCCATTTATGATGAATAAACTTTGACGGTTAAATATACAAATACAAATTAGGAGAATATTTAGAAAAACGTAACTAGAATAGCATAAATGATCTATTGTTTTTCATCATCAGGTCATCATGTGAATGTGACCCAAAAAAAGTAACAATATTTACTGGATAGAAAGAACATGCTTTTATAGATAGCAGTGGCCCGGCCAAAGCCCCCGATAATACTGTAATCTATAACATCTATTGGCTCAAATTTTGTTTCTCTCATTGTGGGTGTCTAAGGTAAGGATCCTATAGATGGGGATTGCAATACCTGCAGGACATACAGCTTAGGTTAAATTAGGAAAAAGCAGCATTCTTTGGGGCGTATTTGCATGCCGTTGAGAAACTTAAAAAATTTCATGGCTTACTGAGGTATTAGAAAAACACTAAAATTTAGCCAAATCGATTTTATATTTGTATTTTCCTGACTCTATTTTAAGGAATATCAAAAAAGTACTTTTTCATTGGAACTTTCTAGGCACTATATGATGGTGTTTTTAAATTTTGTGACGTTTCGTTTTTGATAAACCATCATCAACTTCATTTTTTATATGGTCCAAAATGTACACCGTGTATAATAATAGCACGAATCTACGATGTATCACATGTTACATTTGTCTTCTTGGTTATAAAGAAAAATGTGTTTTCTTATTTATTTTAATTAAGCAGGCGTTGCAGACAAATGCTTGATGTAAGATTGTGTTGCCATTATTTTCTAAACATGAACATGATTTTCTAACAGTAGAATTCAAAACATTACGTAACATTTCTCTTGTAATCATACTAAATGCTTCCATTACACATTTTGGTAACTGCTGCTCAGTTTCAAAGTATGCCCATAAACCTGGTTTTAAATAAAACCCCAAAAATAAAGTCCAGAGGAGTTAGATCTCCATTACTTTGAACAGGTGTCCTTTCAGACTATTGTGTTTTTTCAGAAAAACTGTTACTTTGCGGAGTTGATTCTTGTCCTTTGCAAGCACTTCCTGAAACGTTTTCAAGCATCGCCTTTTTTTGCCTACATTCAGAGAACATTTATTAGGACCAACCATAAATTGATCCTTTTGCTAACGACCCATAATCTGATCATTATAATTTTAACAACCATTTTGTACAAATACTAAATTATGCAAAATTATTGCACGCAGTAGGTAAAAAACCATAAAATTAATTTTTAATTTTCGGTTCTCAGCCTGCGGGGAATTCTCACGAAATGCTTTCAGGTGGTCATGATTTATGCTATGCTACTTAATGGCATATTTCGAAGCTTAATAGAAATTTAATCGCACTCATATAGTTCTGCTGATCCCAGCAGTCCAAACAAAATGGGGTCTACCATTTTGAGCTAAAAAAAGAGCTCATAACGGACACTAAACACAAAATGTGGAAAGAATGACTTAGGGTGGATTTCACCAGGATTGTCAAATCAACAATCCGTTATTCTCCACCTATAGGATAACACACCGTCAAATTCAGCGAATGAGCTTGAAGTTCCAATCAACACATTTTAGCAACCAATAGCTATGAAATGTTGAAAACAAAATACTGTCAAGTATGAGATGACAACTTGTCATTGAAACATCACCAGCTTATTGGATATTGAGAAATTACATATAATTTAGTCAAAATTTAAAAAAGTGTTCGATTTTTTAATAAAATTTATGTTTTTATTTGATATTGTCGATTGTTAATTCATGTTTATATTATTTTCTTCAATTGATATGCGATTTTACTGATTCAACATCACCTATCGTGTGTTCTGTTCCTATAAACCTCTTGCAGATAGCAATGCAGCATCTACTTGATGACAGGCTCTACCAAAAATTTCATAGATATTACTCGTTTCCAAACATTCATTCATTTACTTGCCGCTCATCAGTACCATTATAGCACCGTCGATTGATATTCCCACAAAACTATTCAGGATTTTGATATCCACACATCCAAAGTCAAATATGTTTTGGTTCTTCAGGAACTGAACAAACATCCACACTATTTTTACAGCGATTAAGAAATACTCAAATATATGTCGAAAAGCTATTCTTATATATTACATATTATTTCTCCCCTGAAATGATAAAAATTTAAAATTCTATGAAAGTTAACCTAATTCTAAAGCACAAAGACATAATATTACATCTATAATGTACCCTTATTTATAAGGCAATTGTTTTTTTACGACTTTCTTCAACATTTCAATAGAAATCACTGATATTCAGAAAGGTTTGACAGCTTCCGTCAAATTGCATTCCGATAAGGTATTTTCCCATTGGTCCAAGGGACCGTTAAATATTAATGTTGGTGAAATTGGCCCTAAGTGACTTGTAAAACGACGTTTGGGGTCAAGCATACATGATAGCTATGAAAAAATTAAAACTCATAGACAGCAAATAAAAATTGCAGAGGGACTATTTCCGAAGTCACTCCCCGAACCAGAGTTCACCATGAGTGCGCTGGAAGACGCTGAAACGCACTTGAAAACAAGTAGGGCCCCAGGACTAGATGAAATACCAAATGAGGTCGTGAAAGCGTTGGTTGAAGAGATACCTGAAATGAATGAATGCTTGAGTCTTTCTGAACAGGTGGAAGGAGGCTGGTTAGGTACTCACTTCTAAACCTCCGAAGCCGACCGATAGACCTCTGTTTATGCTGAGTTCACTTGGAAAACTACTAGAACGACTAATAGAAGGTAGGCTAAGAAAATACGTCGAGGAAAGGAACGGACTGTCTCCCTCGCAATATGGTTTCAGAACGGGAAAGTCTGCTACAGATGCACTGGCACAGCTGACGAAAGCAGCGGATAGCGGCAGCTACTAGTACGAGTAGTAAGAACGGTTGTTTTTGAGGTTAAGAATGCTTTTACCACGGCACAATGACAGAAAATCGTCGAATCTCTAGAGAAGCAAGACAAACGCCCCTATTCCAGTCTGATTAAAAATTTATTTGCACACGTCACTGTTTCTACGAATAAATTATATTGGGTGCAAGTATAAACGTGATTAGCGATAATTGTAGCTATAGATAGAGGCCATACCTGATTTCAAAACTTTCGTTTTACTATCCTCTGAAGTGGCCAGAAAGCAGATAAAGTGTATTTGGTTCCCAATTTTTCCATTTCTTAGTTCCGCCACCGCTAGCTGGCGAGAACATACAAAATAATATTTTATCATTGCCTTTATAGTAGCTTTGCGTCTAGATTCTGACAAAATCAGAGCTACAAAGCATGCGTCCTCCTACTTAATCTGTTTCATCTAAAATATAAACATTTTATTCTGAACAATGCAGTAGTAAATGCCACACTCACCGCTAAAAATTTATAGTTCGACTATGTGGCTTTCTCTGAGACTAGAGCGGGCACGGCGCCTGCTCTCGGCATGGTGTGCTGAGAATGTGCTGTCATGGGATGCGCTTATCCTCCAAGTGGTTTCCATTATAATAATTGGCAATGAATTTAGACCAAGTAGAATGTGTCAATAAGGATTTGTTTGTCTCCTTATTCTCAAAGTCTGTAGTAAGGATCAAAGTGCACATGTCAATTTTTTGACAGCCTTATTACTAAATTCGCATATTTAGTGTTATTTTTTAAAGGTTAAAGGCGAGGGCTTGCAGACAATGGTGGTGCTAAACGATTCCAAGACATGGTACTTCTTAACATGATTTGCAAAGAGCGGCACAAGCCTAATAAAGGTAGATGTTTCCACCGGTACGTATTGTTATTATGTAGATACAATGCTGTCACTGGTAGGCATTTGTACACAAACGAGTAAAAAATAGTCTCTAGAACTACGCAAATTTGGCGACTAACAACGCAATGTAAACATAAAAGCTTGGCTGCTGCAAATCTAATTCGTGATTGAAGGAAGACGTCAGGAGACACCGTTAGCTGTCAATTTGCTAGGCTGATATATTCAAAACATTAATGATTTTTGACATGAGATTTTTCATGTGTTGTGTCGGGTACCACCAACCACTGAGAACAACGTGGCGTCCGAGTATACCCCCTTTATAGTACGAGGGATGTCTTTTAAGTTTTGAATATAGAAACATAGTAGCCTGCGCGGATCGAACGTCAGTACTGAATCTTAACTTCACTCTTTAGTAAACTCAAATTCAAAGTTACACAAAAATACGTGCAGTGTTCTCACTACAGTGAATTTTTAAGTGTCACCAAGTCATTAGAAAAATGGAACTCAACCGAGAACATTTTCGCGCCATAATATATTACAACTTTCAGAGACAATTATCGCAACAAGAATTGCTGAGTTACTGTCCGTTTTCGGAAACGAAGCGCCACATCAGTCGACAATTTCCCGTTGGTATGGAGAATTCAAACGTAGACGGGTGAGTCTTAGCGATGATCCCAGGGTGGGTGCACCAAAAACGGCAGTCACCCAAGAAAACGTCGATGCTGTGCGCAAACTCATCATTGAAGATAGACATGTGACATATCGCGAGATTGAGGCGTCCTTGAAGATCTCAAAGACCTCTCAAGAAAATTAGTCCCTCGTTGGATACCCCACCTGTTGACTGAAGAGCAGAAAGCAGCCAGGGTTAATTGGTGCCTAAAAACGCTTGACCGTTTCAATTCCGGAAACTCAAAAAATGTGTACAGCATTGTTAGTGGTGACGAATCGTGGATTTACTGTTATGAACCAGAAAATAAACGACAGTCGGCCGAAGAAAAGCCAACAAAAGTTATCCGTTCTCGAAGTGTTTCGAAAAAGACATTTGTGTCAAAAACGGGTCATATTGCAACAATTATTCCTCTTATTGAGCAAAGAACTATTACTGCGGATTGGTATACCACCACTTGTTTGCCAGAAGTCATCACCGAGCTTCGAAAAATCAACCCCGAAAGAAGAATCATCCCCCACCAAGACAATGCAAGCTCGCACAGCCCAAAAAACAAGGCAGTATTTAACGAAAGAAAACGTGGAATTATTGGACCATCCTCCATATAGTCCCGATCTAGGTCGTAACGATTTCTTTACTTTCCCGAAAATTTAAAACAGACTGCGTGGTCAAAGGTTCCAGTCACCAGAAGAAGCAGTTGACGCATTCAAAAAAGCCGTTTTGGATCTGCCAGCAAACGAGTGGAATAAGTGCTTCGAAAATTGGTTCGAGCGCATGCAGATGTGTATTATTCTTCGTGGAGAATACTTCGAAAAACAATAAAGTCATTTAAACCTACCTACCGTGTTGTTTTATTTCCATATGCAAAACTTAAAAGACATCCCTCGTAAAGAAAAAAGGTATCTTTCCAACACATCGGAAGAGATGTGTTCTGAAACAATGCTGGAACCGGTCCCTTCAGAACACCGTCGATGACATTGCAGGACGACCACAGAAAACTTTTAAACTTGCTAAGCTTTTTTCGGAGGTTCTGAAACACCTGTACCTCCAGTGAGATAAGACAATACTGAGCAATTGCTCTTACGCTATTTATTTATTTTCGCAGTTAATTGCTCTCTATAAATCCACAGAGCTATCTGTAAAATCTGATGGTTGGCGGGCAAAAGAACGAGACAGGGGGGACTGTTCATATAATTTAAAACATGCGGCTCGACCAGAGCGGTATTTTCGGCAGTGCTCGAATTAAAGGCAATAAAATGTAGCGGATTCTTGTCTCTAGTTAACGATGGGTGACCAAACATTGCGCGCCAGTGCAAAGATTAAGTTGTTTTTCGGAGCGCAGGCATGTCTGCCTCCATGCTCAAAGGTTATCTGATCGAAAAGTGAAGTGAGTATGACCTGTGAGATGTAGCTACTAGATATGGTTCCTTTTGTATTATCTGGGTGTTATTCTTCAGCAGACTGCCATCTCTTTACATTCTTTTCCAATGACCTCCCACGCCACTGGCGAGGAGCCTTCTAGATGTTACATGACATGTATATGATGAAGAACCATATCACTCACTTCAGTCGGTCTGTGTTTGTGTCATTCTGTCTGTCTGCTAATATTCAAACCCTCTATCTCCTGGAAAGGAAACGTCGTTTTTGAAATCTGACGGCTCCTGATCATTTTCATAAATTGTTTTGGGCAGGTTGAGAGTTGAATGAAAAATGAACTAAGTATAACAAATTCATAATTACGTTTTATCTTAATTCCGCGTTGACTGTTTCAACGCCATCTGGTCGGATATTTATGTCGCGAATCGAGGGTTGCCGATGCACTCCAGCATTTACTAGCAAAAAATCGATTCCTCCTCGGAGCTGGTAGGTGGCGGAAGGTGTTTCCAGGTCTACCCTAGCGCTCACGCACTGTCGTATAACTGGTTGCCTAAGCGTCTACACTGCGGGAGCTCTCCACCGCCACCCAAGGGTCGAGCTATACGGGGGCGTTACAGTATGTATACGCTTTCAACATCAATAATTACCCGTTAAAGCTTGAAATGGTACAACACACGCGTGCTATGAAACGCAGCAAACGTACATAACTGCGTCGGGGTTGGATCGATGTCTGATTCAGTCTGACTGATGGGATGGGTGACTGGTGAGTGGCGAGGTTAGTCATAGCAACATTGCCAGATGACTGACTTGATTCAATTAGTTTTTTGTTCGTACATAGCTTTTTTCTCAGCTGGGCTAACTGGTATCGAACATAATCCTTTATGAACTGGTGACAGCGTTGCATGAGGAGTGCAGAGTCAACCTACTTGTCATCATCTTTCAAAGTAATGTAGTTGACAAAAGTATATACCTCATGTCCATAGGCGCCGACAGGAATTGTGATAACTTTTTGTTGAGTGGGAGGAATCAAATGTTTTCAAGAGAGGAGGAGAGGAGACAAATCCTAAAAGCTCCCAAAATTGAACACAAAGTCATACTGAATATGCAAATTTTGATGTCCAACTGGATGCTCAGGGCAAGTCGCGACCTGAGGGCGCCCCTGAAAACAAGAGATAAGTAGCAGATTATTTATATATTTGTTTTAGTGTGTTTAATTCCCCGTTTAATTTGGAATTACAGAGCACTCTATACATACGTGTATTTTTTTATTTACCATAATATTTTCAGTAGCAAGAAATTGCCCAGAAGCTCCGTGTTTTAATGACATCGATATAGTTGGAAACACCCAATAAATGTTGACATTTATTAACTTTTTTATGTATAGCTTTTATCAGTCTTAACGGTACCCCTTAATGTTCTCTGTAATGACTTCTATAAATACAAATAGTGACTTTCGATTCGAGAGAACGTCTAGATCAGAGACGTTCATATAGATGCTTCAATTAACTTAGCCTGTCCACAAGAAACTTTCTCCAAAATTTTATTGTTCGCCTTATTAAATCCTGATTGACTGAATCTACAGGGTTATCCAAATTAAGTGTCCACCATTAGTAACTTTGTTATTAGTGAAAATACAAAGTTGTTTGAATTAGCAAACTAGTAGCATTTTTAACGCTGGTAAAAATGAGAAATAAAAAAAAACAATTGAGAGTCGTTATTTTTTCAGTAAAATAACATTTTTTTTAAATGGAAACCCCTGTATATTATATTTTTTTCTGTTAAAGCATCAAATTTTAAACAAAAAAGTTCATAATGACTTTTCCGCTAAAGTCAAAAATAAAGTCAAAATAACGATAAATATTTTTAATTATTTGCAGTATTATAATATTAAGACGGCTATGAAAACAACATGGCGTTCGCGATTTGACAGCATTAAGATAAGCGACAAATTGTTAAACTGGACATACTCGCAACTAGAAGGCTTTGGAAAACAATGATAAAATCAAATAATGTCAAACATTAGTGTAAATACTTGTTTATAAGCTTTATTGTGTCATTAATTTAAAGAAAAATGTTCTCCCATGAAGAAAAGTGTGATATGTTAGAATGCTATTTAGTGTGCAGAAAATCCTCCTTGAGAGAGCTACAGTGAATTATATCCCGCTCGCATTCAACCGTATGAACGATATTTTCTGAGACTTTATCGAAAATTTAGGGGCAACGAAAATGTTTTTGCTAAAACAAGGGCAAAAAAAGAATTCATAATAAGCGAGGCCACGGAAATTGCAGTTATTGGATATTTTGAAGCTTATCGTGAGAATTCAATAGCAGATATTCTCAAGGACTCTAATTTCAGTTATGGTACTGTTCAAAGGATTTTAAAAAAATACAAATTTATTCCGTATAAGTACCGACCAGTTCAAACGCTTTTGGCAGGGGATCCAGAGAGAAGACTTGTTTTTTGCCATTGGTATCTTAGCTTCTGTCGCCAAAATGTAAATAACTTTCGTTACCTTTTATGGACAGATGAATCAAATTTTTCAAATTCTGGAATGTTTAATAGAAAAAACCACCATTATTGGTCAAGAGTAAATCTTTTGTTAGTACATCCAAGAGGCCCACAAGTCCGTTTCAGTTTCAACGTTTGGTGCGGTATAATTGGTTCAAAAATTGTTGGCCCGTTCTTTTATGAGGGAACCCTAACTGGTGAAAGATATGTGGAATTTATGTCAGAAATTCTGACTAATTTCTTAGACGAATTGGATCTTATAAGTAGACATCATCTGCATTTTCAGCAAGATGGCGCACCTGCCCACAACTCCAGAGGTACTTATCATTTTCTAAGTACTACTTTTAATGATCAGTGGATAGGAACAAATGGCCCAATACAGTGGCTTCCCAGATCACCAGATCTAAACCCACTTGATTACTTCTTGTGGGGTTACTTAAAGAACCAAATTTACAAGCGAAGGTACGATAACCTTGACGCGTTAAAGACTGCAGTTAGGGAAAAGATAACCCAGATAGATGGTAGGACCATACTTAAGACAGTTCGAGCAGTTGAAAAACGTGCCCAAAAATGTATTGAAGAACAAGGTGGTGTTTTCGAGCATCTTCTTTAAAAAAAATTGTTATTGTATTTTGTAAGATTATAAGTTGATGTTGAAAATAAAGTTTGTCGATACAATTTAATTGTTTCAGATTGGAGGCCATAACTTCAACAATTTGTAACCTAGGAGAAAAGTTATTGTAAGCTTTTTTGTTTAAAATTTGATGCTTTAACAGAAAAAAATATAATATACAGGGGTTTCCATTTAAAAAAAATTTATTTTACTGAAAAAAATCAAAATAACGACTCTCAATTGTTTTTTTTTATTCCTCATTTTTACCAGCGTTAAAAATGCTACTAGTTTGCTAATTCAAACAACTTTGTATTTTCACTAATAACAAAGTTACTAATGGTGGACACTTAATTTGGATAACCCTGTATACAGGATATCCCAAAATATGTTGGTTACCTTTTCTATGAAATTCTTTTAGACGCAGGACTACCAAAAAGATGCCGGTGAAGAAGTATTCCTTTGAGTCGCTCCTAAACGATGCTGAAGCTATATTTTAATGGTTTCGTCTTAAAGAACATTTGATTCGTTTTATTTGATAGAGACCAGATAGCCCTAACGCGTTGTGGCCTTCCCCATTTTCGTCTGATGACAACGAGCAGATTTCTTCAGATTTCATTGAAGATGCTTGGATCCTATTAAATTTCCTTGGATATCCTGGGACTTTTTTATATTTTAAGCTGATCAACTCGTACTATCTAGTGAAAAATTGGTAGAGTTAGGTAGTTAATTGACCTTCTCAAAACTCCTTGGATTGCCCCAAATTTCCTCAGAATATCGGATCTCCTTTTATTGCCTCAAATCGCCTTGTATTGATGGGATATGTCATATGCTAGGCTACAGCGATATCTATGATACACTAATCTGTACACTAATATTTTCAAAGTGGATTACTAATTAGTGCTGGGAGACGAATCATAGATGTCACAGATTCTCATTTCATGTTGGATATTTTGGACACCAGAATATAGTATTAGGTTTTCAGGTAGAATACGTAAGGCAATGCTTAGACTTACAAAGTTTAGTTTTCAAACTGGCGTAACGAAGTTAACAGGATACAACTGTAAATCACCTTCATTATTTATCTAGGTATTTTTTGTTATTAATTACCGTGGGAGGGAAAGGCTACTTCTCAATATGGCATTGCGTTGATTCAAGGCGAATTCTCGGGTAAGTAGCTAGAGGCATCTTACACCGACAAACCTATTCATCTTTCTTCACGTACGCCGCTGAATGTGTGGGTATTTTAATCTCAACAAACCAGTCGTTTACGTGTCGGACACAACACTGCCGGCTACTGTACGATGACTGCTCTTATCGCGATCG